GTGGTCCAGATTTGCCAAAGAACTTCTTCACATTAGATCATTGTCATAGAGCATGCTGTTTGTGCGCCATTTCCTTGGACCAGGGGAGTGGGATATATATATATATAGCTATGAAACCAGAAGGTTGGAGTTTATATCACATGCTCAAAGTTCGAGTCCACAAAGGACTTCTCCACCAAATTTCAGTGTTGAGGCCAGAAGTGGATGCGGGATTCACTCAGCCAGCGGCAAAAGCTGCTGCGTCAAAGCCGTGTGGGGCTGCGCCTCTTCATGCACCTGCTGGTGTAACGAGGAGGCGTACGGGCGTATGAGGAGCGTGTTGGGCCATCAGCCTGCAGAGCCTATTCATATGCTGGGCTACTGTAGCAGACTTTGCCTTCAAAAACTGCCACGATGGTGCGACGGACTGCAATGCCTAGTGTGGGTCGCCTGTGATTTTGTACCGCATGATGAGAGTGCAGAGTTAATGGGGTCAATGAATTTATGTCCTCCAGAGAGATCTAGTAATGTAGAGGTTTGGGGATCCAGAGGACTCCACAGGTCTAGAGGTCTTGAGATCCAGAGATCTCTTTGGACAGGACTTGAGCTAAGGGGCGGGGCAACAGAGAGCTTATATAATTTGACAGATTTCACACAGGGTCCAGTCACTCGTGCATGACACGCACAAATCGAGATGTACCACGACAATGTATAGGCTCAATCACACAGCGAAAAGGTCTTTTGTGCTTCGCATGGTAGCGGAGCTCTGGCCGTAAGAATCGGAGCTCCCTACCCACGTTTTGCACCACGACGAGCCATTCCGGGGCGGAGCCTCGTCTGTACACGCGGAATTTCCCTCGAATGTACACGCGGAGAATGAAACTGGGATGTGCACGCGGCTTCCTCGGCTGTACACGCGGCTTACACGGCTCCAAAAATGAATGAATGAATGAATGAATGAATGGAACCCGACCAGATTGTTTCACAATCTGAACCTTGTTGTCTCATTTTACGTCCATCGCTTTAGATGCGCTGTTTGGGCTGTCAGATCCGTGGACGGGCACAGCGCGCAGACATGCGAGCTTTCATGCGGAACATGTGTCGTTATGATTTCGACAGGAAGTCACGTTGTTAAGTACCTTCACCTTAACGCGTCAGAAGATGAAACGCCCGTCGGCTGCCATGAAAAACGATGTTGGGAGCTGTCACGACATGCGCGCATGCAACTTTAGCTGACAAAACGATGTGAAATCTTTAGTTGACATGAAAGAATGAAGAACGCAGAGCGTGTGTGTGACGTGAACCTGTGGAAGCAATGAGCAAAAAGAGATCATCATGTAGATGAATGTCCAGAGGGACGTTATTAACACATCATCAATCAAACGAAGCAATGAGCAAAAAGAGATCATCATGACTCAATTTGTGTGTGTGCAAATGAGGCGAATCATGTGTGCGCATTTGAGTTTGGGGCAACATGGGCTGTTTAAAGAGGAATGTAATCAATGTGTGCGCAGATGAGGTGAATCATGTGTGCGCATTTGAGTTAAATATATAAAAAAGTCTGTGTGCGGATTTGAGGGGAATTATGTGTGCGCAAATGAGGCGCCATCCCCATTCCGGCGAAGATCCAGGGCAATCGGTGCCGGCTTGGTTGAGCTGCTGTTGTTGGCGTGCATCGCCAGTGGAGCTGGAGATCGCCTCTGTCAAGAGGTTGCTTTCTACAGGCCGTGGGCTGTGACAGCTCAGCAGACCAAGCTCAAGGTCAGGAAGATCCATACGGTGATCGTCGAGGGTGACAACTACGTGGGTAGGCTGCACTGGATCAGGAGTGAAAGAACTACCAGAGCCTCCCTGATCCTACAAGAACGGCAAGGTAAGAAGAAGAAAGGAAAGCCGAAACAGCTGGTTGTGATCGTCCCAGCTGGGTGGAAGTTCATTGAAGGAGTAGAGACAGTAGAGAAACTACGAGACGAGGCATCGGAGGAGCAGATTTGTGAACTGATAGCCAATTGGGACTACGTCACCGTGTTCCACAAGAGTTGCCTGCTGTTCACTGAGGACATTGAGGACCCCGACCTGACGACCTACACCTTTCGCCCCTTGATCAAGGATCTCTGGGCCATGGCAGATGAAAGTTTGAAGTTGATCTCCGAAACATTGGAGCGTCTGGCCTTGACCCAATCTTCCTCATCATGGCCCAGGCACATGAAGACACCAGACATCTTCAAGCCCGACACAAGGGACAATGAGATCAAAAATGGAGCGACTGGAAGTTCAGTTTTGTGAACTATATCAAAGGAATCGATTCTAGAATGGCCGCCAGCATGGACCTTGTGGAGGAGAACCTGAATGGAGACTTCAGGCTGAGCGACATGACCGAGGAGGATGATGGCAGTGCGGCTTTATGGGGTGTTGACATCCTATCTGCGCAACCGCCCGCTCAAGCTGGTGAAGCACACGAGGGATGAGAATGGCTTTGAAGCCTGGCAGTGTCTGCTCAAAGAAATGCAACCAGCCAAACGAGCACGATCTCTTGCACTCCTAACACAACTATCGAGGGTGCAATTCGCTGAGGGACGAACTTTGTCAGAGCAGCTGCCACAGGAGTACGAGTCGAGCGCGTTTCTCACCAGAAGTACCCTGATGATGCCAAGATTGCAAGTGTACTTCAAGCTGCGCCCAGCCACCTACGAGCTCATCTACAACTATGGATCTCCAACACTACAAAGTTTGATGCTATCGCAACACGCTGGGACAGCAGCAATTCTCTGGCATTGCCAACACGAGCTGGCATAGACGAGCCAACTCCCATGGAAGTGGGCCACATTGGAAGAGAGAAGGGAAAGAAAGGAGGAAAGACGAAGTCGAAGGATCAAAAAGGCAAGGCGCAAGGAAAGGAGAAAGGGGAAACGAAGTCAGAAGGAAAGGGCTCATGGAAGAGCTCGGAGAAGGGTAAGAGGGTCTGGGAGAAGGGGCCAGGAAAGAAAGGAAAAGGTGAGAAGGGTGGCAAGGCTGGAAAGGCTGGCGTATGCCCACAACTGCGGCAAGTACGGGCGCTATGCAAAGGAGTGCTGGAAGAGAGTAAACCAAGTGGAGGAGCAATGGCCTGCTAGCAACACTGGCGGGACGAGTTCTTCATCGACGACCCAGACCACAACTGGGCAGACAGGACAGACCGCAGTGAGAACCACAGTGCCACAGTGCAGATGGTTCGACTATCAACGCCGCCTGAGAGTTCTTGCCTCGAGATCTTCGACTTGACCGCACCTCGAGATGAAGAAGAGAGGAGGAGCTACCCTTGGAGGGTTGGAGCCATTGAAGTCGAGATGGAGGAGCTCTTTGGCGAGATCAGTGAGGAGACAGAGGAAGAGTTTGTGGACTGCATAGAACCAGTGGTGCTAGTTCCCGATGGCGTCACTGTTGTGGCCATGGACTTGCAGGATGACCTAGAGGAGAGAAAAGTCCAAATGGTGAGGACTGGAGAAGAGGAGAATGACGCAGGATGCCACACTGGACCAGACATATCAGTGCTGCGGAGGTCGTATGGAAGTGTTGGTACCTGGTCGCCTGGATCACAGAGCTTGAGAATGGTGGTTGCTCAAGGCACTCACATAGCCCATGATGGTGTGACGAGGGCAAAGATCAGGACGACCGACAAGAAGGGCAAGGAAGTTGAGCTGGTAAACGTCCAGCATCCCATCCTTTGCGCTGGGAAGCTGCTCAAGAAAGGATGGAGCATATGTGGAGGATCAGGCAGCGTCAATTTGAGGCATGAGAGAAAGGACATTTCGGTGCCAATTCACAGAGAAAGGAACTCACTGCAATTCACTGCCAGGATCTCCACGGTGGAAGCTGATGAGAAGAAGGAGAATGAGAAGCAAGAGGCGTTAGCTCTTCGGGGAACCCTAAGCCGCTATGTGAAGGAGATGGAAATGGAACCTGGATGGCATCGCCTTCCCAACGGAGTGGTGGTCTACAGTGACCCACTAACAACAAATCTGGTGGACCCACGAGTCCAGATAGATGAGGATGACCCTCATCAAGGACAAGGATGACATGTGGACGCAGATTGAGAATGTACCGGACTTCATGGAGTTGAGGCCAAAGGCATTCAGGAAAATCGGAACTGGTGGACCGCAAAGGACATTGACATTCTTTGCAGCCTCAATGATGGAAGATTACTGGGAGATGGAATCCGAGGTACCGATCAATCCATTCCCTGAAGAGAAGAACAGAGCACCTCAAGGACGACTGGATTGGTCAGAAGATGATCGAGAAGAGGAGGAAGATTTGGAGACCAAGATCGACGCACAAGATATAGAGAAGATGGTGGTGGCAGATCGTCCCAATGAGGTGGAGATGGACGAAGTCATCTACACAGACAAGATGCCAGTCAAGGAGTTGCAGCTGGCGTGCAAAGAGGGAGGCCTACCCTATAGCGGCAGCAAGAGGAGGCTTTTGGACCGCTTGATGGCCTTCCGCATCAACATCGAGAACAAGATGAAGCTCAGCGTTGCAAAGAGGCTGTTCAAGGAACAGGAGAGGAAGCCTATGACATTGGGACAACCTCGATTGCCATCGCTGAAGGAGCAGGAAATTCACTTCGTGACCCACATCCCATACGCTCCATGGTGCCAAGCATGTGTGGCCAGCAGGGCAAGGGAAGATAAGTACGAGAAGCAGGACGCCAAGCCAGACCTGGGAAAGAACGTGATGCAGCTCGACTTCTTCTTCACGTACACAGGTGAGGAGACTAGAACTGAAGAGACACCAATTGACAAGGTGAAGGAGCGAGCAGATCAATATGGAACCTGCCTCGTTATGACTTCCTCACAGACCAACCATGCGTGTGGTGCCTGTGCCATCGAAATGTACTGCCAGTCTGAAGACAGTGACGGAGGAAAGCGTCCGGTGTTCTATGGAAAACTCCTCGGCGGACCCGTGCATCTTCCAAGGAGAGTCAGAGAGAGCAATGAAGCAGATCCTGAGGTCAGTGCAACAAGTGAGGACGCTCATGGGTTTGCCATGTGAGACCCGCCTGACAGGAAGTGGACAACGCGCCTCAAACGGGCAAGCTGAAAGAGCAGTGCAGACGGTTCGCAAGATGGCCAATTGCCTGAGGTCGTTTGCCGAGACGAAGGCCCACATCCAGATCGATGGGAGTTTCCACGTGTATCCATGGGCATTCAGGCGTGCAGCATTCCTCATCATGAACTGGCGACTGGACATGCGTACAACGGGAAGCTGGCACTATATGGTGAGACAGCGCTTTTCAAACGTCTGGCCAAGTACAAAGCCAGTGACACCTTCGAACGCGGCGTCTGGGTTGGGAAGAGTTGCTGGAATGATCAACATGTGAGCCTAACCCCAGAAGGAGCCAAGGACACCGGCCGTGGCAGCCAGGGAAAGCGGCCGGTGCGATGGGTGCGCCAACAACACCAGCACCTGTGCCGTTGACACCCAGGACGAAGAGATCAGCAGAGGAGGCAACGACTGAGGAGCCGGAAGAGAAAAGACACGACAGGACAGAATCACCTCGCAAAGGCCATGAGAAAAGAGAAGCCCAAGAGGAAGAAATGGAACCAGAGAAGAAGCAGAAGGTGCAAGAGGAGAAAGAAGTAGAGGACAGCAGCACCTTCGAGTATCACAAGACCAAGAGAGGAAGAAGCATCGATGTCACCTTCATCATCACCGGCAAAGATGGCAAGGCAGTACCCCCCGCATTTTGCAGGGATACAAGCCATTGAAGTCGATGGGGACGAAGAAGTCGACTAAAGAGCTGCAGGTGGATGACAGAGAAGACGAGGAGCCACCCATCACAACAGAGGAGCATCTCAAGATGCTGGATCATGAAGCGAAGAAGAATGAGGTGGACAGGATGGTGAGCATTCGTGTAATGGAGGGAGTGAACGCAGAGTGAAGACCAATGGAGGCTACCTAATGTCCACCAAGTTCGTCTACTACTGGAAGCATAGAGTGGAACGTGGAGGATGGTTCCGCAGAGCACGCCTGGTGGCGAGACAGTTCAAGTCCAGCGTGGACATGGAGCAGACATTGCTGGTGATCCCAAAGATGCTCATCAACCTCATGCTGAACGTCTTCAAGCACTTCACGGCCATGACGTTGGACATCAAGGACGCATTTCTGATGGCTGCGCAACCAGAGGAGGAAAAGGCCTACGTGGAAGTGGACGGCAAGGTCTATAGACTGATCAGCCAGGACAACGGACGGCAGCAGCTGTTCACTGGTGCCGCAAGGGAGTTCGGCATGGAACAGGACATCATGCAACCCACATTGCTGATGATCCACAAAGTGATTTACATCACAGTGCGTGTTGATGATGTCTTCATGGTGGGTGATGAAGGAGCCTTGAAGCAGTTCGTCGACTTCCTGAAGATGAAGAAGAAACGGCGCATTGACCAATCAGGGCCCTACTTAAAGAGAGATACTACAAGCAATACGAAAGTTTGGGCAAAGAGATGGACCTCTTCAAGAAAGCATATAGGAAGACTCCCATGGAACAGAACTTCAGCAAGAGAGATGACAGTGAGGAACTTCAGGGAGCAGAGGTGACGAGATACAACAGGAGCGTTGTTGGACGATTGATGTATCTTGCAGGAGAACGACCTGATGCCCAGTTTGCCATCCAGAGCCTGGCTCGCTTCATGGCCCGACCCACAAAAGGCCTGGCGCGCGTGCTCGTACCTGCAAGGTACAGAAGGCTACGGAGTGAGGATATCTGCAAGAGCGAAGGGCCAGTCGGTCATGAATGTCAACAATTCAGAAGATGTGGAGGACAAGGACCGACGCCTCCTAGAAGTGGTGACAGATGCAGACTACGCTGGAGACCGCAACGACCGTCGAAGCACTACCTCCTTTCAGGTGTTCAGTGACGGCAATTTGATGGAGTCAAGAGTCAGAGCACAAAAGGCAATTTCCCTTTTCTCAGGGGAATCAGAATTTGTGGCCGTGGTGGCAGGATCCTCAGATGGACTGCTCATCAAGCTCCTGTGGGAGAAGGTCACGGAGGAGCGATGTGAAATGAAGGTGCGGTCTGATAGCTCAGCCGCGAGGTCGATGGTGCAACAACAAGGAATAGGCCGAGTACGCCATCTTGATGCCTCGCTGCTTTGAGTGCAACAGAAAGAGAAGGAGAAGATTTTGAGCATCGGACCCATCCCAACCGAGCTCAACTGTGCAGATTTAGGCACGAAGGCCTTGACAAAGAAGCGCATGCTTGGGCTGCTCTGGTTCAGTACAGTATGGTGGAGAAAGAGTTGGTGAAGAGGAGCGCAAAGAACTTGAACGTTGAGAACAAATGAAGAAAGGAATGAAGAAGGTGATGAGGAGCAAGGATCTCCACATCGGGCTATTGATGATGATGGCCACGATGGATCAAGCCGCAGGCAACAGTATTGGAGAAGAAGATGGAGAAGAACAAGGACGGGCATGGAACTTCATGACTCCCATCCTGGCGACAGCGATTGAGAAGGTCAAGGACTACATGCAAGATGGGAGCAACAAGACAGACAAGGAGACACAAGCAAGCTGCCAAGCGAACCTTGAGGCATGGGAGCGCTGTGGAGAAGAGAATGAAGAATTGAAAACCGGGTGTTCCAGCTTGAAACCTACATTGAGGAGCTGGAACAAACAGTCCAGGAAGTGAGGGGCCAGAGAGACATGGCTTTCGCTGAAAGAGCATGGACTGAAGCTGATGAGTCTCATGTACAGGGTGTGTAGGCATGGCAAGAAGATCCACTTTAAGGACACTTGCCCACACTACAAGAGTGCAGAGCACCTTGAACTGTGCTCTAGATGCACAGGAGGGAAGGGGCCGTGACAGATTTCACACAGGGTCCTGTCACTCGTGCATGACACGCGCAAATCGAGATGTACCACGACAATGCTCAATCGCATAGCGAAAAGGTTTTTTTGTTTCGCATAATGTATGCCCAACAGAAACTCTTATCAGAAGTGATTTTCGGAACCACAGTTTCAGATGTCCCAGTTTCTGAAACGCAGTTTCAAAATCCGACTGTTTAGTTGCAGATTCCGGCTTCAACCAAAATTCACAGTTCAGGCCAGATGTGGGCATGGAATTCACCCAGCCAGCGGCTGAAGCTGCGCCAAAGCCGTGTGGACTGGCAGCTGTTGATGCACCTGCTGGTCCAACAAGCAGGTGCCCGGGTATGGGAAGAGGGCCGTCGGAGCTGGATTATTTTGGAGCAGTCTTGTTATTACACACCCTGTTTCTTCGAGTAAAACGGTCTACAACCTTGTTTGTTGCAGTTCACGCTAAGATACCAAGTATAATTCCGGCAGGCCTGAAGTCAGCGCATCGAGTGTGGCATCAGCTTCAAATGCGCCAGCTTTTTCAGCCTCCTGCGCGGCAGAAGTTGAGCCCAAGGATGGCGAATTGGAGGACTAGAATCCAAGAAAAACAAACAAGAAGATACAGTATGCAGTTTCATTCTTGCGTTTCATACTTTTCCCTCCCTTTCCTACTACATACACAGTCTCATGTTTTTTTCGAGTAGGACGACTGGTACAACTGGATGGATCGGCGCTTGAGAGCAGCCTGTGCGGAGCCCATGAGGGGCAGCGACAAGGCGAAGCGCAACACGGGTCGGGCAAATGGTGTGTCGCCGCGAGCGTGTGCCATGTGCAATGTTATGCAACGTAAAGTGGCAGGCGCACGCAAAGATATTTTTTGAATCTGCCTTCAAAGTGCCGGAGATGCCCTCAGCGCTTGGGTTTGTCGTGTCGAAAAGAATAAACATGTTACATCATGCGCTTAGATGGGCCTGGTCGTTGCTAGTATGATCATTACAGGCGTACAATTAGTAACGCCATGGTAGGTGTGAATGAACCAGTCTTCCAATTGAGGCCAAAGAAGCCGTGCCAGAGCAGCTGAGAGAGGAACCTAAGATCATGTGGCAGGATGAAGATTTGGCGGTGGTCTTCAAGCCCAGTGGCTGGTCCGCTGACCCCAACCCGCAGGCGCGGTTGGTTTGGTGACGGCCGCGGTCAATTACGCACGAAAGACATCATCGTGTGGGTTTGATTGCGCGTTCAACCTTGGAATAAATAGGGATACGTGATTGATGTTTCGATGCTCAAAACATTCCCAAATCTGTAGGGGTTCATTGCCATCATGCCAACTTGCAAACTCCTCAGGGAGTCAATCCTGCCTGGGCACGCCTGCGGCCTTCAGATCGACAGAGGGAGGTGACCAAGCTCTTGACACAGGCAACCGCCGCCCCAAACCCGATCCCTTAATAGCCCTTAAACAACAAATCATGCAGGAGGCAGATGCTCCTTTGCAGGGCTGGCTGCTGCTGCAGTTGGAAACCCAGAGTCCCGGTGTCGCACAAGACAAAATTTCAAACCTGGTGAAAGCAGACTGCTTATGGTGACTTAGGTTCGGGCACGAGACGATGAGCGACGCTTGCCGGTCTCAGTGTGGGTCTTGGGGATGCATATTCGTGCCCCAAAGGCTTTCGCAAGGAGGGCAGATAAGCCCCTTCTGACTCGTCGGTGATTGTGTGGCGTGACTTTGTCGCGCGCTGAGGGAAATTGATCGTGGCATCGTGCACCGATTGGATGCAAAGACCTCTGGTCCTTTGCTCATCGGCAAAACGCACCAGGTGTTTGGCAGTTTTGCTGCTTGTGCAGTTCTCTTTGGGATTCTTGCCTCGTGAGGGCTACGTGCATGCCAGAGGAGAGGTCTTGCGTGGTCTCTTCAAGGAGTATTTCCTGCGTGGTTTGAGAGGGACATAAAGGGTGATGAACGGTGAAACTCTTACTCTTTGCAGACGCATCGAGGACTACCTGGTGCTGGTTCATGGTCGCCTTCCCAGTGAAAGGCTCGTAAACTGGATCTCAACGCACCTGTTTGCCACTTTACAGACATCCTTGATATTTCGGCGGAAGGACTTTTCTTGAATCGAATCCATTTTCGACCTGTGACCATGAGAGATTGTTTGCAGGGGCGAGTGCAATGCAAACTTGGACACGCCTGGAGCTTAAGTCAAACCGATTTGGCAAAAAAACTGGGCTGGTGGGATAAGAACTGGGTAATCGTTTCTGTCTAAGGAGTAGCTTCAAGGAGAATGGCCGGGTGCGTCTCGCCCTTGGAGAGAGGGCTTCGGGAATACTGGTAAATACAGTACGTATTTGTAAGTATTTTATCCGCTTCCTTCCTCATGCCAAAACAAATAGGCCTCGATCCTGCTGGTCTACAATGCTCGACACTTTGGGAGGCCACTATTGATTTTGGTCACATAGCTCGGATGTGGTTTGTTGGTTTTGCGCGGCCTGCGGACAATGGAGGTCCTTGTGGAGTACGAGTCGGCTGAAGGGGAAAAGTCTTCTCCTTAGAGAGTTTCGCAGCTTTTTCGGGTGGTTTGGGCACGCGCGCGGATATGCCAGGCAGATCCAGGCAGAATGCTAGAAAACATTGCAAATTGAACGCCGCAAAGGACCTCAGAAAGGTAAGCCAGCCGAAATGCCAGAAAATAACTACGCCAGAAAGGATGTCAGAAGACAAGTGCCCAAAGTTATGCGAGGTAGAATGTGAAAGGATGTCAGAACCTATCCCACATAGAAAGCGGAAAGGATGTCAGAAGACGTGCCAGATAGAGTGCTAGAAAGGAATTCAGAATGCATGCTAGCAAGAATGCTGAGATAGAATGGCAGATGCCAGATAGAATGCAGAAGCAGCAAGATGTCAGAATGCCAGAAGATATCGCAGTTGCTGTATATAGACTGTCAGAACGTCAGAAGGTATGCCAGATAGGACTGGACGCCAGAATATATCATATTTTAAGGCTTACGCCTGACAGCCGGGCGCCGGCCCAACACAGGGCAAAAGTAGGAAGGTAGAGGGGATAGAGGCAAAAGACGTCGGGCATTCCGGCAACATCCTTCAATGTGGAAGGGGGCTGACCGCCCGGGTGTATGTAAGAGACACCGAAGGTCGGGAGAGCCGTCGCTCTCTCTCTCTCTCTCTCTCTCCCTCTCTCTTTCTTTGAGACTGTGTGGGGCCTATGTTGCCACATCTTGAGGCTATCTTGGCCCATCTAGAATCTAGGGCTATGTTTCCCATATCTGGGACCTATGTAGGGTCATTTTGCGGCTATGTGTGCCATATCAGACCTATGCTGGGTCATCTGGAGTATAGGCCAGCACCAGGCTCGGACTGAAGCGGGATGTCCGCGTAGCAGCAGCCCAGGTAGGTGGCCACAGGCAGGTCCTGCTGTGGCCGAAAGCAAGTTGAGCCACCGTTTCACCCTCCCAAGCGCCGGGGTCGGCGGATATATCCCAGACAAAAGCCGGAAAGGATGTCTGAGGACATGCCACATACAGTGCCAGAAAGGATGTCAGCATGCCAGAATCAGCAGGATGTCAGAATGTACCAGGAGGCAGAATGTCAGAAGGATGTCAGAAGATAAGATATGAGAGTTTTAATGTCAAAAGGTATGCCAGTTAGAACGTCAGAAGATATGTCAGACAGAACGCCAGAATATATTCGACCCCAGATAGAATGCCGGAAAGGATGTCAGAGGAATGCTGGAAAGGATTTCAAGAAATTACCAGGAAGAATGTCAGAAGACATGCCAGAATACGTGCCAGGTAGAATGCCAGAAAAGATGTCAGAAGTAGAATGTCACAAGGTGTGCCAGGCAGAATGCCAGAAAATTTTCAGTCCCAGACAGAATGCCGGAAAGGATGTCAGACGACATGCCAGACAGAATGCTGGAAAGGGATTCAGAATGCATGCTAGGAAGAATGCTGGGAGATATGCCAGAAAAGATGTCAGAATACATGCCAGGTTTCATGTCAGAAGATATTGCCAGTTAGAGCGCCATAAGATATGTCAGATAGAATAATTACACGTATTCGATCTCAGATAATGCCGGAAAGGATGTCAGAGATAGAATGCTGGAAAGGAAAGAGTCCCAGAAAGGATGTCAGAATATAATAATCTAGGTAGATGGCGGAAAAACGCCGCATATAGAGCCCAAAATCATATTAATATGTCTTGAAACCATGTCAGAACAAGCGGCAGGTTTGATGGGATAATACATATCGGACTACGTGGCAGAACACATGTCAGAACATGCCAACAACGGACGTTGGAACACTTTCTAGAACACTTCCCAGCTTTTATGCTAGATGAGGTGTCATGTGTCAGAACATGGAAACAATGCGCATGACAGGCAACGTTTGTCAATACATGAGAGCACATGTGCCTTGCCTTCGTCGAAGCCTCTCAGGGCGGGGGTCGTTGTCATTAAGCGTTGTCGTGCAGTTTTGCTGGTTGCGCTCTACAGGTACTCTCTCCTTCACTGCCGCCCGGAAACGTTGAGGATGCCGCAGTTTTGTTGGACTTGGCACTGTAGGTGTGGATTTGGAACCAGTTGGAGAGTTTTCATGTCATAGACTGATGACGGCGTGTGTTTTGTAGCAACTTTGGCATGATTGTGATAAAACCACGGGGCATTTTTTCAATCACAACCTGACTTGAACTGAACTGAATACTGCATCCGGAATCCCCAGGACTCACCAGATGAGAGTCCACCTTGGTCACCTGGGCAATCCGTTTTGCCGGCGTGTGAGTCAGGTTGCTGCTAGATGGGTTCTAGCTTTCTAAGCAGCTGGAGTTGCCAGGATAGTGGGGGATACCTTGTATGGTTTCCCTTCTCCACTGCTTGGAAGCAGCCGCCTTTTTGTGCACAAGGTGCGGATAGGGTCAGTGGCTAAGTTTCCAAAACTTGTTCAATTCTGTTACTGAATATAGTGTTTCCTCAGCTGGACAGCGCCCGAGGTTTTTTAGTATCCGTGGTCGCGTTTGGCGCTTGAAAACATACTGTAGTATAATCATGTATAATCTGTATATATACACACATGTCAAACTCACGAAAGAAAGTGGGAACTGGGAACGCATTGAATTGCTTTGCTGGTTGCTGGGGAGTGTCACAATCGGATAAGGTGCAGTCGCTCACCGTTTCGCTGCAAGAAACTCCAGAGCTATGGCAAGCCCTCGAAGGGCTAAAAAAGGTTGGGGACCTGAGAGCAGGTCTTGTTTTGGGTTCACTCTTTTCGTTCTCTGCCGGTGTAGTTTTCTGGGGAGAAGGATTTGGAGGAGACAAAACTGCCCAGCATCGTCCAGCTCTTCTTGAGGTGGGTGATGCTGTTGGATGCGGAGCACCGGGATTGGGCTGCGTGACCACAAAAGACTGCACTGGGGTCAGGGTCCTTTTGCTTTTTTGACTTTATGTTTGTTTTTCGACTTTATGATTGGATCAAACGGATGTGTTGATTTGGCTCAGATCATGACATAGACATAGAGGATTTCCAGTCACTTGCAGACGCACTGACTTGCCAAGATTGCAGATGCAATTCAATCACTTACCAAGCAACAGAAGCAACAGCGTGCATTTGATATGTTGAGCAAAATGAGTTGCGAAAAAGGCAAACCTTCTTCTGTTTGGCCATTGCGAATTCTTCAACCCAGATTCGCATCTCAAATTGAGTCGCACATGCAACCAGACGCGGGCTGCGATGGCCATGCGGAGCTGATCGTGTTCTTGGATACACATCATGGCAGCTGGGATTGGATTACTAAAGGAGCGAACTGATGCAGAAGCGAGGAAGTGAGCTAGCAAAGTCAAGCTTCTTTTCATCTGAAGTGAAGCCGGGATTTCGGATTGCGTAGAACATGGAATCTGAACTTAGATCGAGTCATGACCATTTTTGCAAAATTCAACAATTCAACAACACTTGCATGTGAAAGACGTGGGCGTCTTGCCTATGTCCGCCAATCGTGGCAACGAAACATTTTGCCGAAACCAGCAGAACCATATATAGGCGGATGACTCAAGCGACTTGCTGGAGGGCTTACACAGCCGGGTCCTGATGAAAGCTTTGGTCAAAAGTTCTTCGGTTCAAACAATGCAGCTTCTACTCTTGGCGCGCCAGTTTTTTTGGTAATTATGTTACCGTTGGCCTATGAATGCCTTGCCAAGCCTGCTCTAGAGATTCTATAGTTTTCTGTGTCTCAGGCCTGGACATCACCGCTTGCAAAGAGCACATCCGCCAGCTGCAAGCACGACGAGAGAGACGCTCTTTGGTCCAATGGGAAGTTTGCATTAGCAGTGTCACAGTGCCACTCACATTACAGGTGTTAGTAGAAACAAGTGCCTTACTAGTAGTAACAGGTGCCTTACTAGTAGTAACAAGAAGCTATTAATTTAATTCTGTTTCATGTAGATGGCGCACGACATGCTGGGACTGCTGACACCGGAGTAGCACTAAGATTTGATGCTACTCACGCTACCGTTTTGGTGCAGAGCCATAGGACCTTGGTGCAGATTGAAGTCATGTCCATTGAACAATCGCAAACATTATTCCGAGGTCGTGAGCTTGTGGAGAGGTTGCAGGAAAAGCTGAAGGTGTCGAATCGGTTTGAATTGTTTTATTTCTAAACCCTTTGTCACATGATTGGCATTGGCCAAAGATCTGAGGACTCTCGAGATTTAGTGAGTACATATGTCCAATGTCCTGCATATCGAGCAATATGCGGTTTGCCAAAACAGGAAGGCAGGCTGTTTTTGTGAGGGCCTCGTCATCAGGGTTCCTCACTGCAAGGCCCTGAACAATGAGTTGGCTGCGAGAAAAGAGGAGGCCGACCGCTGTCCGGGCACCAAAAAGTCGCCTCATCAAGTCATCAAGTATCCATCTTCGCTGTCAGACGAGAGATTTGGTTCGAACTCATTTGACTCGAATGCAGATCAACAGATCATATTACAAAAACATGATATAACATTGTGATTTGTCCATTGATGGTTGATGACCGTTCGATGACTCGCCGTCTCAATGCAGTGGTGGGTGGGCAGAGGCATTTACACCGAGGAGAAACCAGGGGTTCGGTGTCTAGGGACAGGGGTGACTGAGGACAGTCTAGGACTCCAGAAGGACAGGGTTCCACGTAGGATTCACATTGGTAGCGGAGCCCCTTAAACAAGGGGCAAGGTGTGTTTGGGGGTTCAGGGTGACCCTAGGTTGGTGGTGATAGGAAAGTTTTGGGGGGGAAAGACATTTCACCTCCATCGTGTGATTGAGCCATGGCCCCAAAAGCTGTTCAGACGGCAGAGGAGGCCGCACCAGGCCGAAGCTCGGGATCCCTCCCGGCCAGTCAACTGCCTTGGGCGCAGATTCCAAGTTTTGTTGCTGGAGAAACGGACCTGGATGACTATGGGAAGAAGCTGACCTTTCTGGCCAGCATCTGGCCTGATGAACACATTGGGCATTTAGCCCCAAGAGCGGCCCTTCAGTGCGATCCAGTCTCCTTCAAGAAGATCTCTCGCATCAGCCCGGAGGAACTCAAGTCCAAGAACGGGGTTGCTGCAGTTCTGGCCGCACTAGGCCTACAATGGGGAAGGTTTTCAGCAGAAGACCGCTACCTCAAGTTCGAGCGGGCGCTGTTTTTGACCGTTCAGAAGGGGGACGAAACAAATGACAGTTATCTCGCACGGCATGATGCATGTTTCGAAGAAGTGATGGCCAAGGAAAAGGGCATCAGCCTCGAAGAGATTCGAGCATACATCCTCCTGAGGCATTCTGCCTTGACTGCGGATGACAAGAAGCGCATCATCGTGGAGTCCGATGGAGTGCTGAAATATGGTCCTACCAGAGACCGAGTTCGCCTTCTTGGGTCGAAGTTCTTTACCGACCTTCATGGTCAAGCAAAGCCCAAGAACAAAACCTATGACGTGAACGTCACGGAGACGCCTAGCGAAGAGGACACCATGGTGACTTTTGAACCTCCTGATGAACACCAGGAGGAGCAGGCATTTCAACTACTACAAGACCAAGGAGATGAAGACGCAGTGTTTGTGGCAGAATTCGAGGAAGAGGTCATCAATGCTGTGCAAGAGTCCAGTCAACTGGCCAGTTGCTTTTCAGCATACCAAGAAGCCCGTGCTCGACTTCGTGAACGAGTTCGCCAACGAGGTTTCTGGCCACCAGGTCAGGGCAAGGGTGGCAGTCAGATGAACAAGGGAAAAGGAAAGAAGGGTTCATGGAAGAGCTCATGGGCACCTCCTCGTAAGACACTCGCAGAGAGGATTGCAAATTCAACCTGTCGAATTTGTTCAAAGCCTGGCCATTGGAAGCGAGAATGTCCTCAGCGCTTTGAACGACAGGCGGAGACCACCACCATGGCGGAAACGCCCTATGAACCGGAGCAAGATCCAGAACTCATGGACACCTTGCCGGAAGACGTCCAGGACTATGAGCCTTGTTCCAGTTTAATCAAAAGTTTTTGTAAGCCGTCAACATTGATTGTCCCGGACGCTCGAAGGGGACATGAGACACCAGGGGTGAGTGAAGGGGTTCCTGTTTTTACTGTTTGGGACAGTGGTCTGTTTGGAAGTCGCCTTCGATCAGCTCTCCATGTCGCTCAGAGGCCGGGGCGAATTGAATGCGCCTCTTCAGCCAAGACGCGAATCAATTTTGAGAAAGCCTCCTCACCAATCCTTCCTGCGTGGAACGTCCATGACCAAACCGGACTGGGGCAGATGACTGAAGAAGCTTCAGACGAAGCTATTTTGGACACCGGAGCGAGCCGAACTGTGATAGGGAGTCGTAGGGTTGAGGGTTTGATTCGAGCTTTGAAAGGTGTCAGGGTTAAGAGAGGTCCCTCCAGTTGTGTGTTCAAGTTTGGAAATAGCGGCACGCTCCAATCCCAAGAAGCACTGTTTTTGCAGCGACAAGGCAGAGGATGGCTTCGCGTCGAGATCGTGCCCGGAAGCACACCGTTCTTGTTGTCAAACGCAGTTGTTCAAGGAATGAAAGGGGTAATCGATTCCTATAGGGGGAAACTGTGGTTCCATGGGGCGAAACAAGAACTCGATTTGCGAAAGGTTAGACGGCGTTTGATTTGTGTGAGTTTTCGGGAGTTGTTGAATGTTGATTTTGATGATGAAAAGGGTGAAGTGTTTCATTCAATTCCACAGAACACAAACACACAACACAAGTCGACCCACCACACGCATGACAGCAGAAATCAGAATGAGGAGACACCAAATAAGCAAACAGAGTTTCAGCGTCCCACAGACTTGGATCAGAACGACCGTGCAGCCCAAGAGACAGCTCAAGCTATCATCCTTCCGAAGCCCGAGATCGACATCGACGAGACAAACGATCATGGCAATGACAAAGACAATGGCCCACCACTCCACGGAGGACGAGCTGTCGGGGGAAGAAGGCCCGACTTTGATGTCAGAAACCCGACAGGCCTTGGACTACACCTACATGATTCCACCGGGGATGACCAGCCTCAAGCAGTGGGGACAGGAGAAAATGAGTACCGGCAAACATGCCGGTCAGTCATTCGATGTGCTGTTCGAGATGGACGCCAACTATGTGAATTTCATCCTGCACCACAAAAGGCTCACAGGAGTCGACATGCGCAGCTTCCAGAATTACTGCATGGCCCGTCGGAAGAAGGAAGCGGAGGCATCACAAATGCCGGTGAGGAAGACAAAAGGGAAATCCTCCACCGAGAGCGAGTGGAGCCACATCGACTGGGAGACGATGGAGTACATGGAAGCTCATCAGACCCAAGGACCGATGACAAAGACCACGGAGAAGAGTCCGGCCAGCTCCAAGGGGACACCTCACAAGAGGGCTCTTCCCACAGCCAAGGACGAAAAGCCCATGACCATCGAGCCGAACCCGCAGCACATTCAAGCCCTTCAGACTCAGATCGCAGTGCTCCAGAGGGAACTGGCTCGACACGGCTACGAGACCCAAGATGCCCCGCCGGTGCCGGAGACCCCGTGAGACCCGACAGTGAACCGAAGGTGACAAATTCGAAGATTCCAGTTGCTGAGGTCCAGAAACGATTGACGGAAGTTGTTCAAACGATTGAGGACGGGTTGTCCACTTTACCTACCAAAGAACCTTTTTGTCAGCGACCTCAGAAACCGGTTTGTGATCCAGTGTATGAACGACCCGTTGACCTCTTGGAGATCTTTTGTTTTCCCCAATCCCAGATGACCACCCAAATGAATAAGATGGGAGGAAAAGGGTTGAGATTCACCTTAGAAGATGGAGATCTTTCAACGGTGGAAGGGGTCAACAAATTATGGACCTGGATCTGTACGTATGAACCACTCCATATCTGGACGGCTCCAGACTGTAAGGGGTGTGGGGTTTTTCCCGACTGAACATGACTCGAAGTAGAGAATCCGAATCACGTATTTTGTTCATGCGAGAGTTTGAACGAAGGTACCTGAAGTTATGTAATGACATCTATTGGCATCAAGTTTCACATGGACGACACTTTCATTTGGAGCAACCTCAAGGTTCAGACATGTTGAAACAACCAGAAGTATATGACATCATGTCGGGAACTTTGACAGCCTCCTTCGACCAGTGCACCGTTGGGAAACTGCGAGTTCCGGGAACGGACAAGTACCTTCGGAAGCGCTCCAACGTACAGACGACATCCAGGTTGACGCACCAGATGCTCCATGGCAGATGGTGCCAACAACAGCATGAACACCAGACCATTGAAGGAAGCTACACATACCAGGAAAACAGACAGAACATCTCAGCACTTGCCGCGCGATACACCACAACTTTTGCACAACACGTAGTGAGGGTGGTTAGTAGGAGTAGAGAGAGTGGTGAGGACCCCCTTGTTGTTGAAGAGTTGTTGGCAGGTTTTGAGGCTTCCGAAGGGCAAAAACGATCTGCTGATTCTCGAGGAATTGCTCTCGAGTCTTTGCGGCTGAAGCGGCGGCGATGCGATTTTAAACAAGCAAGACCACCTGCATTTGACGATCGCCAGGACACATCATGGGACGACCTAATGAAAAGCGTGTCATCAGAAACTGCTAGAGTAGGTGTTCATATTGTTGGAAGGGATGTGAGTGAAAGAATTGGGTCGAAGGTCCCAGAGATGGATGTCCGGTTAGTCATCTCATGTCGTGGAACGGATCGATATCGCATTCCACCGAACGAAAGCGACACGGAATCCATATCCCTCAGGAAGACAATTTATGTTCACAGACAGACTGGGGAGTGTGTGGATACGGGTCCCCCGGAGGAATGGCTCAAACTGAGTAAGCTGAAGCGCATCCGAGCATGTGGACCCTCCAGACTTGCGATCACCATTTTTGGGAAACCACGGGGGAAGGACCAAGATGTTGAGATGGTCCCTGTCCCGAAGGAGTCCCAAGAGGTTGAGGAAGGAAAAGAATTGGCAAGTCAGGATACCACCGGATGGGCTCCCAGACCAATTGCGGTGTCAGGCCCCGCCTACAACCGCTTGTCATCCGAGAAGCGCCAGGACATCAGCAGACTCCATCAGAATTTGGGACACCCCTCAACTGATCTTTTTGTAAAGTTCCTGAGGGAGAGAGGTTCACCACAAGACATTTTGGATGGAGCAGCTGAGTTCCAATGCGCGACGTGTGCGGAAACTGTAGGAGCCCCCATGTCTAGCAAACCCGGAACCATACACCGAGACTTGGACTTCAACGATGAGGTAGGATGTGATGGGGTATATTGGAGTGGTAAGATGGGGAAGAGCTACTATTTTGTTCATTTCCTAGATGAGGGTACGCTGTTTCATTTGGGGACTCCATGCAGTAGAACCACCGAAGACCAGATCCGGGCATTTGAGGACACCTGGTTGCAATGGGCAGGACCATGTAAAACCCTGTATGTGGACCCAGCCGGGGAATATGTCACAGACAAGTGGCGGGATTTCCTTCAAAAGGAAGGGATCCAATTGGCAATGACTGCTGGCGGTTCACCATGGCAGTTAGGTCGGACGGAAAGACATGGAGCCATCATAAAAGGAATGTTGACCAGGATGGACAATGAACAACCCATCCAAAACGAGGATGAGTTTCGGGCCTGTTTGAGACATGCGTTTGCTGCGAAGAATTCCTTGAGCAGGGTCAATGGTTTCACACCTGAACAGGCCTTGTTGGGTAAGGCTCGAACTCTCCCTGGCTCCCTTGTTTCCGACGACCTTGCAGGTAGCCATGTTTTGGCAGAGAGTGGAACTCCGGAAGGAATCAAGTTTAGGGAGAGTTTGTGGAGAAGGGAGCAGGCTCGACGGAGTTTCATTTCTGCAGACAACGATTCCAGCTTTCGTCGTGCGTTGCTTCGAAGAACACGCCCTAGTCGTGACGTGTATGAAAAGGGGGATTGGGTACTCTATTGGAAGAGGACCCAACAAAGTTCCCGGAGAGAGAAAGGTAGGTGGTATGGCCCCTCACAGGTGATAGCGGTTGAAGGGAGTAGGGTGTTGTGGTTGAGTCATGGGGGAAGGTTAGTAAGGGCGAGTCCTGAGCAGGTTAGACCAGCCTCTCTCCGAGAATACCACCTCCTTCCCAAAGATTCATCTGGAGGAGTGAAACCCGAAGCATTGGCAGAAGGGAAGGGTCCAAGGGATTTCATTTCACTCGAGGGGGTCCCTGATGAAGAGTATGAACCAAGTGAAGGTCCCAGCGATATGATTGATGTTGAAATCCCTCCCAGATCCCAGCCAGAAAGTGAAATGGCACCTCCAAGTTCTCCAAATCAAGGATCGGCGCCCGAAGTGCCAAATTGGGACGGCGATGATATGCAAGTCGACGGAACTGATGTTCCCGTTCCAAGTGATGATGAGCTATTTGCATTTGGAGATGACCAGACCTGCGCAGAATCATGCTTTGAGATCACGTTCAAAGACGGTCCCTGGGCTACCCTCACCCCTGAAGAGTGTTGTTCACGCGTGCAGGCGTACGAGACCTTGTTGACCACAAGTCCCAAGAAAGAGAGGATAGAGGTAAGGTGGGGGGACCTGAGTGCAGAGGACCGAGCTAAGTTTTCTGCTGCCAAGAACAAAGAGCTCAAGGCATGGTTAGACCATGGCACGGTCAAGCGTGTGACGGCTGGAACTCTCCAGCCAGAGGAAATTATGAGGTGCAGGTGGATCCTTGTTTGGAAGCCCCCCCGAGACCCCAGGTGGAGAAAGACGGGCGAAAGCGCGTTTAGTCGTTTTGGGATTTACTGACCCAGGGTTGTCGTATGTCCCCAATGACGCCCCCACTTTGAGTAAGGATGGGAGGATGCTCTTGCTCCAAACAGTGAGTAGCAGAAAATGGAAGCTGATCAACTTTGACGTGTCTACCGCCTTTCTCAAAGGGGAAGGGGATGGCCGACGTCTTGGTTTAGAAGCACCTCCAGAGACGGCGCAAGCCCTTCAGATGAAAGGAGATGATCAATGCCTCCTTCAGGGTGGAGCTTACGGTCGGGTGGATGGTCCGTACTTGTGGTACACCTCGTTCAAGAAGACCCTTGAGAGTTTAGGATTTGTTTGTTGTCCTTTTGACAATTGTGTGTTTTCATTGGTTACCAAAGGACCAGACCAAAGACCTCAGGTTCGTGGGGTGCTCGGGATTCATGTGGATGATGGGATAGGTGGAGGTGATGAATACTTCCACACGATCCTGACAAGTTTCCAAGAAAAATTTAGTTTTGGCGCCTACCGGGAGAAGAGTTTCGTCTTCTGTGGGGTTCAATATTTTCAGTGGGATGATGGTTCCATTGAGATTGATCAGAGGGATTACATTGAGAAGATTTCCCCTATTCAAATCCCCAAGACAAGAAGAGCCGAACTCCAAGACCCGGTGACTGAGAGTGAAAGGCAGGAGATCAGGCAACTGGTAGGGTCTCTACAATACTCAGCGGTGAACACCCGGCCAGATCTGGCCGCCAAGATAGGAGAAATTCAGTCAAAGGTGACTAGAGCAAAGGTTGAAGATATGCTCACTTTGAACCGCGTCCACCATGAAGCAAAGACACACCCAGTATGCTTGCGCATTGTTCCATTGCCATTGAACACTCTCACATTTTGTGCAGTCTCGGATGCCTCATTCGCTACATGCCGTGAGCTGTCATCCAGACAAGGCCAGATAATATTTGCAACCGATAAGAGGATTCTTGACAACCAACCTAGTGTGGTATGCCCTCTGGCTTGGTCTTCACGGAAGATAGCTCGGGTAGTGAGGTCAACCCTCAGTGCAGAAGCCGTCGCGCTGAGCTCATGTCTTGACAGATTGTCATGGCTTCGCTTGTTTTGGAAATGGCTGGTTGATCCCTCAATTGACTTAACAGATCCCAGCCGCATTCTGAGCGAAGATCATCCAGCGGCAGTGGCTACAGACTGCAAGTCAGTCTATGACATTGCAACACGGACTTCAGTTCCCTCATGTGAAGAATACAGAACGTGCCTTGAGTGTTTGTTGATAAGGGAACGTCTCAAGGAAAGCTGCCGCATCCGCTGGGTGAGCTCAAGAGCTCAACTTGCTGACTCTTTAACTAAATCAATGGACGGGTCACTACTTCGCCTGTGCCTAAAGGAGGGTCGCTACAGTCTTTATGACGAAGAGTCTACCTTAAAGGAGAGGGCAGACCGAAGGAACAAGCTCCTATGGGTTAAGAAAGACGGACAGGAGAAGAAAACATAGAGATTTTTAATGTATGTGATTTGTCCATTGATGGTTGATGACCGTTCGATGACTCGCCGTCTCAATGCAGTGGTGGGTGGGCAGAGGCATTTACACCGAGGAGAAACCAGGGGTTCGGTGTCTAGGGACAGGGGTGACTGAGGACAGTCTAGGACTCCAGAAGGACAGGGTTCCACGTAGGATTCACAAACATATATATATATATGTATATATATAAAATAATTGGGTCAGAGACCATCCGACAATCAAGGGGCCATAGCACTGATAATCTGAGGCAAGAAGGATCTATTGGAGGAGCAGGCGAAGAACCGCCGCCTTGCTGAAGCGAGGCCATTTTGAGAAGAACATGGAAGAAACAAAGGACGCAAAGAAGGAGGTCCAAAGGTCTAAAGAAAGATAAGAAACAAACGAAAAGGACAATGAAGGACACATGGAAACTTGTAAGCAGTGCAGGACCGCAATCGATCGATCCTTGCACCCTGTCGACCCCCGTACACCCGGTCGACCTGGGTATCCTGGCCAATCCAAGACCAGTATGTGGTCAATGAGTAGGGTGCGGCCTTGAGTTTGAAAGGAAAAGCAACTGCATCGCTACGTTCGTAGCTTCTTGCTACTAGTAGCTACTTGCTCCTAGTAGTACGGCCAGGAGCCCCTAGTAGCATTCTTGTTACCATTTGGCATAATGTCAAGATGTTGGACCTGTGAGACTTCTTAGGCAAAGGAGGCTTTGTTTGGTGTGAGCTGGCAGTTCGGAAAGGTGGTACGCTTTTGGGTCACTCGTCGAGCACTGTTTATAGAGTGACTCCAAACCATCGACTCCTTTGGCTTTGACCTTGTCATCAGTTGGCGGCCTGCTTGATCGACATATTCTCGTTCTGTGTGATAATATAATTACTATAGTTTCTTCTGATATATATATATGCATGCAGGCGCGGACAGAAGACTGGAAAGGAGGCAGGTTGGGCCAACACTTTCTCGATAGTGAGGAAGTCGACGGGTAGATAACTACTGTAACTAATGTGCTCAGCTTGCACACATGACTTGTGCAAAGTGCGGGGATATATATATGTTATGTCGAGCCATGTTGAAGGCAAGAGGGAAACATGCTTGGTGGATTTTCTACAGGATTTACTAGTCCGATGTGTGTGTGAAACAAAATGCAGAAGTGCATCCTTTCATCGTACACAGGCCACATGGGTGATTGCTTCTACTTCTCTCTCAGAGTTTGCAGGTAGTACAGATTCAAGACGACCAGCACCGAGAACAGGTTGGGGTTGGAAAAAGCGAGATGAGGTGACACATTCGATGAATCGCAGTGGCACCGCAGCCATCAAGATCATCAAGTAATGAAACACCATATCCATTGTGTCATTAGGTGGTCACGGCTTCAATGTAGAGCTTGGTAGGAAGTCGGCGAGTCGGTTCTCAAGATGAGTTGACCAGTTTCAACTGCCTGATCCTTGAGTAAGGAAGTAAGAAGGTAGTGACGCTTTCAAGATTGTCTCGTCGTGCTAGTACTGGGTCCAGATCGTTCCAAACAAAGAGACAACATGTTTTTTGCAGCTCCATTTGTGGTTTTGTCTCGAAGCAATACATTCAAGATAAGTGAGGTCTTTCATTGGTTTCAAGTTCTAGACCCACTTTTATTATCTTTTATTCACGATAGAGTGCGCTCTGTAACATGGCCCTGACTCGGCCCTGACCATATGCAACCCAGAGTTCAGAGGCTTTTGAGAAAATCCCTTCCACTCGCTCTGTCGTTGGCAGTGTGTAGGTCTTTGATTGCCAAATAAATGAAAAGAAATACCCTCTTTAAGCAGCTACTAGTAGCTCCTGGCATTACTACTAGTAGAAAGGTGTGCTCATAGGTTCCACCCAGCAGAATTTTGAGCCAGATTGTGGCTCACACTGGAAGTGGTCCGGGTCAGGAGCTGGAGCTCCAGGCAGCGACTGTCCGGCGCTTCATGGAAAGTACCCTCCAGGAGAAGGCACATGGAAGATTTTGAGGAAACGCCTTTGGATGCAGCATTTTCTACAGAGTTCTTGTGTTTTTCGATATTGTGCTGATTTTCTGGTCTGAACGGAAGGGGACTATGTTTGTGCAAATTGGACAATTTGTGATGGGAGACCCCGCAAGATTGCTCTTCTGCGTGAGACTCCGACATTGCACTATATTACTCTAAGAATAAGAATGCAGCTGTCCTGCCATTCCTTGGCAGGTGAAGAGAGACAGCACTCAGAATGAGTCTGGAATCCTCAGTGACCTGGGGAGTGACAATGTAGACTGCTGATAAACACAACTCCCTCTGTAGACTGTAGACTACTGCCTTTTGTACAGTCGATGAATGGAAGAACATTTTAAGATGTATATTTTTCATCATTCTTTTTTTCACATCTACATTAACGGTTAACGGAGGTCAGAGGACGAAGTGAGCGAGAAATATGATGAGATTTGGTCACTGCTGGAGCAAGGCTGGGCATACGGATCTACGACGAAGTTGAGCTCATGGTGGAGAAGCCAGGAGCTTTAATGGGGAGGGCGCAAGCGGCATGGGATGGGGATGGGGATGATGATGATGACGACGATGATGATGATGAGGATGATGATGATGATGATGATGATGATGATGATGAGGATGATGAGGACGATGATGAGGACGACGAAGAGGACGAGGACGAGGACGAGGACGAGGACGAGGACGAGGACGAGGACGACGAGGACGACGACGACGACGACGAGGACGAGGACGACGACGAGGAGTATGATTATGATTATGATGATGCTGGTGGCTGACACACGAGTCACGAGTGGACAAGAACATGAGTCTAACACGAGTGGAGTTCCTGTCGTCATCCTTCTACTCTGCTTCTGAGGTCAGCAGACGAGCAAGCTCTCGAAAGCATTGTCCTTACTTCAACCAGAAATGGGATGAGAAGAGAAGGGATTGCAAACCAGATGCTCTATGATGCTCTTAAGTTGAAAAGACAAGGCCACTGGAGCTGGTTTTCCTTTTCGAGGCAAATATATCGACACGGTGCTGGTGACCTACTGCGTCCCCAACTCCGAGCTGAAATACAACCTCAGCTTTCGTGTGGCGGCAACCTGAGTGTGATTGCAAACTTGAACTGGCAAAGACGCGACCGTTAGCTGAGGATAAGAACATGACCACTAAAAAGCTGAGGGAGGATGCTTGCTTGCTGGAGCCCCAGAGCTAGTCAACAGCTGGGATCCACGGGCAGAATTGAGTGAAATTGCATGAAGACTGTTTGATGGGAGACTCCACTGTCTGAAACAGTGGGTGTCTACTTTCAGACAGTCATTGTTTGGGGTTTAAGAGAAGAGACCTCCAAGTCTATTTATATAGGCATAGACAGCTCACTCTTTGAATCAGGTATTGGGGCTTGTCGGAGGTAGAGTTCATCCTCAAGACCATGAGCAACGCCAAAGTCCATGACGAGCTTGCGCGCGATGCTGAGGGGGTAGAAATGACATTATGGTATGCTGCAGATCCCTGTACATGCAACGTAAAGCTGACGAACAGGCTCGGCTCGTCATTATGCAAGTGTTTGTAGACTGGCTGGTGGAAGGATCCAAAGCTGCTTCCGCGAGAATGAAGATGCTCAGTTCCTTTTGGTGCAAAAGACACCGCGCCCTGCCAGCAAAGCATATGAAGCACGACATCCAATAGGCGGAGGGCCACGCCTTACCGGGGTTCGGCACTTGAGATTTGATGAGATTTGATAGCTATTTGCTCCTACTAATCCTACTAGTAATGCCAGGAGCTACTAGTAGCGTCCTTGCTCCTAGTAGCGATGCCCTTTGTTACTAGTAGCGTCCTTGTTCCTAGTAGTACTGCCAGTGGCTCAGGAAGAATGCCACGCTGATGGACAAGGAGCTCTTGCACATCATGCCCAAAGCTGGTCACTGGTCCAAGACCAGATGGATGGTCCAGATAAGAAGCCTCGTGCGATCAACGTCTCTTTTTGGATTCCAGGACCTCCAAGACAAATGGGCAACAATTTCCAGGAATCTTGTGAGACTAACCGAAAGCTATCCGTCCAGTGCCAATGCTGGTCCCCTGTTGGTTCAGCTACAACTTGTTGGATAGTAATTTGCTTTGCCTATGGGCTTGAAAGGAATTCGATTTGATAAAGAAAACAGGTTTTGGCCTCCAACCTACTAAGTGTTACTGGCGATGGCCTCCAACCTAATAGCGACGGCCTTTTGACGTTTTTGTTGCCTTTAACTACTGTAACTTGCAGTTAAGCCAAGGCCGCAAGGCTCGGCGCGTGGCGAAACAGTCGGGCAAGCTTGGGGAGGCCAAGGGTGAGTCTGCTGCAGGCGCCGGAGAGCAGGCAGTACTTGAGAGTGTGGGTATGTATTGGAACGGCCATCCAACCTTTGTCAGACCAAAGATTCATTGTTCGGGTACATGTTTACACAAATCAATTCGGCCACCCTGGTATCCAGTCACGTGGTGGCGTTGAAATACTAAGGAAGCTCTATCAACATGTCATTACATGGCTTTCACGGTGGGAACAATTGAACTGGAGAATAAACATACCAATGACATAGATTGACATAGATGCATGCTGTGAGGTGTTGGGGGAGAGTTGGCTGAGCAGATGCTGCTGTTGCCGGGCCTTTTCAGGCTGTGGGGTGGGGGGCCTGAAGGCAATCTGACGGTTTTTTGTGTGTGCTGCATAGTGTGCTCGTTGCCCTGAATCGTTGCCAGAGAACAAAGCTATTCCACCATGGGGGGAGCGGAGATTGATCACCTCCGTGTACCTGCAGCTAGTCAGTGGCAAGAGGCTAAAACAAGAACCTCATGACATTTTAGACGGTGTCGCCATTTTCGTGGGAATTCTGAGAGGCCATTCGATAGACGGTGATTCGACGACTAGGTGGTCTCAGGAGGTTCTCGCCTTTGACATTTCCAAGCTCTACTAACTTACACCCACATACTACTAGGAACAAGGGCATTACTACTAGTAACTAGTAGCCAGAAGCTACTAGTAACAAGGGCATCGCTACGAGTACAAGGGAACTTCCCTTGACCTTTGCCTGGGCAAACATCGAAGGTACATGACCCAGCGGGACCAGAACGTCAAACAGCGCGGGTGCTCAGGGAAGACAGGTCATGCTTGGGTGGGCCAGGCACAGTTATTTCATTATACTGCCGACGCTCTTGGCCTGATTTTGAGGCACTTAGAGAGACTGAAGTTGCGGAACCTCTGTGCTGGGGAGCTTGGTCCATTCGGGTGATTGCCCAACAGGGTTAGGCCTCAACTAATAGGTTGTTGGCCTCCAACCTACTAGTGATGGCCTCCAACCTAAATAGCGATGGCCTCCAAGTAGCTTTCACAGCTCGTCAAACTTTGTGATGAAATCCAACATTAGCTCATTGGAGTACCCGGAGTACCCTTGGCTTTCACCAATGTGGAGACAGGTTATACAATATACTGTAATCTGTCTCGACTGGAAGACATAGCTTAGATTCTGAAAATTGATTTGAGTGGCAACCCTTCCTCATTCAGATCTATCTCACGGTGCTGATCATGACGATCGTGGACATCTATCTCCAACTTCCTCCTGGCGCTACATACAGCTGCCGAGAAGGTCTGCAAAGATATCAAGAGTACACTGACTTAAGTGGCTGGCGCAAGAGGCCACTGTTTGCAAATCAAATCATACTGTAAGCTCTTTGATTTTTTTGGTGATCAAGGATATCCTTGTGCGCAGGTGACTTCACAACTTCTAGCAAAGAAGGAGTTCTTATTGCTGTTTAATCAACTAAACTCCGTTCGGGCGCAGGTGTGGTCCAGCTCATGACCGAAGGCTGGGCATTGTGGGTTGAACCTGTTTCAAAGGGAGGGACAGAGGGATTCTGCTGTTGGGACAGGGACATGTGAACACGTATAGTAGTAATATGATCGAATCCAATGGATGTTTTTTCCGACCTGATTCTGACGCAGGTGATGGGCAGGGCTTACATTTCGAGGAGATCCGTTCGTTGGAGGAGGTCTGGCCTTGGCTGGGGCTCCCAACTTGGGCGACGCGGCATGCAAACGGAATTTGTTACGAAAGCCAGCCTTCGTAGAAGGCGCCAGCGGAGTTGTGTTTGGCGAACGAAGTGAGTAGTTAGGGGGTCTGGGGGGGTGGCCCGCAAAAGGTACACGTAAACTCGGCACATGCTGGGGGAGGAGGGTGCGTCGAGGGAAGGTTTTTTGAGGTTGTGTTGGAGGTGATTTTTGAGGGGTGGTGATGCAAGAAATGCAATTTGCATCATTTGCATCATCTGAATGGAAAGGTGTAGTTGGCACCTTGCCAGGTATAGAGACCCAGGGTAGCTATAGTGCAGCTACCAGGTATAGTACTTCAAGTTCCCTTTCCGTCAACCGCTCGATAACCTTTACACACGCACAGCAATCCACAGCTTTGAAGCCTCATGCGCGCGATACCTGGGAACAGAATTGTAGCTACCGTGGGTCCGTATGAATGCTATGTTGCTATACCTCTTACACACCTATACCAGTTCAAAGCACGAATGAGACTTCATAGCTGTGGTTTGCTGTGCATGTGTGGCTGGAGAAAGATATACGTAAACTCTGGAAGGTGATGCTTTGATGCTTTTGGAGCGGGTGGTGACGCACTTGCCAACTATACCCTCCAATAGGAACTCGAACAGCTCAAATCCAGAAGATTCTGAAAATGGCCTGGCTCCCTATATGAACCCTGGGAAGACTGGGAGGCGAAGAGGTGGAAACAGCTGGGAGGTCTTGAACTTTTAAGTAAACAAAAGGCCACATTCAAGCAGCAGAAGGACAATGTGCATCCTCTGCTCTCGCTTCGCAGACCTTCATTTTTAAGGTGGCCTGAACAGAGTGTTTTAGGGCAGCAAACTCTGGTCTCAGGCCACCTTGAATTTAGCTTGAAAAATTGTCTGTTTTAACAAAAGCCTTGTCACAGAGACACCTCAGGCTGGACCTCAGGACCCTTGCTTCGCATATCTTCATTTTTGAGGTGGCCTGAACATATAGTTTCGGGCAGCGAGCCTCTGGTCCCAGGCCACCTCGAATTTTGTGCATTGTTTGGCTTTTGCTTCATCTGAATGTGGATGGGAATTATCTATGTGTGAAGTCGGTAGGGGGTCGGGGGGG